ACACTCCTGGAACTCGTCTTGGCGCCGTTCGCCAGGAACTCGTGGTTGGGGAGATTAAACCACGCTTGGAACAGTTGGCCAAGAAGGGTATGCCGGGCCTCCGTGCGGATGCCCGGGACGACGAGGAATGCGGAACCTCGAGAGCGTGGCGGAACCGAGATCGGTTGGCTGTGGTCGGAGTTTTCAGGCCTCAGGGGATGCCAGGGGGTCATGGTCATCGAGAGGATGTAGATGGTCTTCATTAGCAGATGTCTCGTGGCGTGAGATTGTTGATGAATAAGAGCACCCCAAGCCGAGAGATGTGAAAGACGTTTCAAGACAGCTTACAAACCATTCTGGAGCCGGGTTTTCTTTATCCATCAACAACATTACAACCACTCCAAGGGGTTTTACATTGCTTCCAATGTGACACTTTCAAGTTCAGCTCTGAAGGCTCAGGCTGGGGCCTTCCGCTTCCGGCGAATTAGGAAGACATCAGCGCAGTATAGTTGTGAGATGTTGGAAGTGTTTTTTTTTAGTTATGTGTTATCCAAACTCTATCTAAGATATCCTAGCAAAGCAGGAAGTACTATCGAGACGCTTGCTGGGTGCATCCAGATTCTATTCGTCAAAAGGGAGCTAAGGAACCATGTTCCTTCTGTCGAGAACGCCCAGTGGTGACTGGGACGTCTATGGAAACACCTGGAATAGAACAGGTCGCGCATGATTCACTGGAAACAGCGGTCGGGTCGGGTTGTTTTCATTTTGTTTGAAGCATGATAAACACGTTCTCGCCGGTCTTGCAAGTGTTGGGAACCGGTTTTCATGGGGCAGAAAGTGAAGGGACTTTGCTTGTTTCAGTCTTCAGAGGATGTCCATTCTGAAATCCATTCTGGGCCCCAATCTTAGCCAGCACGTTCGGACCTGCCCGTCCGCATGCGGGCGGACCTGTCCGAAGCCACCACTTCGGGTCGGGCGTTGGGGACCAAGGACCCTTGGTGGGCTTGGCACATGGTGACTTAAACGCCGCCAACATCATGATCGACGCGCTGGTGCCGTGGCGCCGCGGCGCCTGTTGGGGCCTGCGCATGGCCTGGCGGCGCATGCCGTACCCAGCATGACGTGTAAGAGACAGTGGTGTTTTGGAAAAGAGATCCCATTCACTCTTCTGTTTTGCACAATGTGGAGCAGTACATATTCTACAGTTTGGGAGGAACTTGATTGAATCGTAGGGTGCCTGACTGGGCCGAAGTGGCCTGCGTGTCCTATGTGCTATAGTGACGTGCGTATCCGACTATAGGGTGTAGCGCGTTTTGCGCCGGGAAGTGAAAAGCCTCAGGTTCATGGCGGTGGTTTTGGCTTTCCGGAAACTCTATTTTTTCGATCTGCAAGGGGCGAATGTGGGTTCGCGATTGCGCTCCAACACTGCTCGGCCTTTCTTGGGGTCACGGAAGGCAAACGCGGCAAGACTGAAGAATAGCCTTTGTCTCCATGTTTTTTTTTGTGATTCTTTCCTGGGAAGGCTAGAAACAAAAAATAAGTTGCAATCAATTCCGCTTGGTCCACCGCTCGACAGGCTAGAAACAAAAAATGCAATCAGTTCCGCTTGGTCCACCGCTCGACTGCCTTTAACAATAGACCAACGAAGGCAGCCCCATGATCAGGCTGATCAGTGGCAGAGAAATAAGGGATTTTTTTTTCGAAGAACAACGAAAAAACTTCATGATATTTCAACGCAAGCTTCATGATATTTAGTGCTTAGACTTTTTTTCGGGTTGCCTCAACCAATCCTGCGCCATGACGCATCATGAAGTCCGCAATCTTGCGGCTGCTGATTCTAGCTGCGCGAGTGGTGAGAAAGGATCAACAAGAGCACCTTTGCATTGAAGCGGATGCTCTGCAATGGCTCTTTTCCCTGGCTTGGGAAACTGGAGAAAGGACTTGCGGCTGATTGGATCATTGGATGTTTCGCGTCAAATTCTTTGATTTTGGGGTCGCGGTGTTGTGTTTCTTAGGATCAAGAGGCAAAAGACTATATATAAAGGATTCACGTGTTGTGCGGCTGTCATGTATTGTGAGCCAGCGCGCAAAGTAGTGCAATGCCTTAGCATCCGGTGGAGGACATCCGGTGAAGACCCTACTCCTACTCATTCCACATGGAGACGTCGCGCGGGCTGGCTTTTACAAGATGCTTGCGCTCACCCATACCATATCCATCAGAATCTGTACGACGTCAACATCATCCCACTTTTTTTGGAGAGAGTCTAGGGAATCTCATTGAACATCGTTGAATGGAATGAAATCTTAAGCGCAGCTGTCCTTCACTACCACGAAAGCACAGAAGTTGAACTGGGGGACAGAGACACCTGGAGAGTTTGGATGGGGGTTCTTAGTTCTTTGCGTCCCTCTTTCCCAAAGGTCCACAATTGTTTTGATGTGTTCCAGTGTTCTAGCTCAAATATGTTCTGTACATAGGGTCATGGATCAGTGCATTGAGGACGAGCTCTTGCAAAGGCCAAATCGTTTGGCAGATGATGAGCCAATGCCTCCACCGCGAGCTGAGCCGTTTCAAGAATCATTTGAGCCAAGCGATTCCTTTGGCTCATCATCTTTTCAGGGTTTTGTCCGGACTCCGACACCAACTCCAACCGCACTTTCAACTCCACGTAGCAGTCATAGCGTTGGAAGTGCTCCTTCAACTTTGCGTTCGGTTTCAGACGTGAACACAGAGCGGATTGAGCAATTGGAAATGCAGCTAGCAGAAAAAAAATAAAGACTCTTGTATCAATCAGTACTTCACTTGATGTGGCTTGAATAACGGCCGTGGGCCGTGGTTCGGGCAAAAGACAAAAAGAAAACATAAAACACCTTCTGACAAAAGCAAAGTTGCCGTAGCAATATGCCTACGGGCCTACAGATTTCTTTAATGTCCTATTAAGCTACAATGGTTAAACTGACCAAACTGCCAAACTGAACATTTAACACGGTGGTGGCAGATTGGGTTTTGACTCAGACAATTATGTCTGTTCTGGTTGGTTGGTTGTGTGAGCATGGTCCATGGTCCATGGTAGCTGGGCCCGGGCTGAGGTTGTTCATAGTCCATTTTCATTCCTGCAATTTGTCGAGTCAAGAGTCAAGACAAAGCAACCACCCACCAAGTAAACCAAGTACAAGGCACCCAGACCCAGGCCCAAGTCAAGACCCCTGTTCGAAGACGCAGTTGAAGACGCCCAAGTATACAAAATGTTAGCGTACAAAGATTGTTTTACTATGTCTTGCTGTTTCACTGTTTTACCAAGTTAGTTTACCAATCGTCGTCATTGTCGTCGTCAATAAGGAGTGCCAAGCGCAGAGGAAGCGCATCTGTCGATTGGAGAGAGTAGTCCGGGCAAATGCTTGTTTGAGACAGAAAGTTCGTCGATTGGAGTTCAAGATTGCAGCAAACGAGCAAAGAAGAGCAGAAGAGGCTGAAAACAAAGACCCTCTCGAGATTACACGTGCTGGCAAACGTCGCCTCACACTGCAAGGCACAATTGCCCTTGCAATACGAAGGAATTTTGGCAATTGTGCTCAGGAGGACGTAGGATCTATGCTCTTGGAAGACATCTCCCGATTTACGGTGAGTCGGGCAGAGAGTCGAGCAGGAAGTGCGCTCATTGCTTCAAGCAGACTCTTCTTCCACGCGATGTTCCATGAACTTACCACCCCAGTGGATGGTAGTGGTAGAGACTTTCGGGTTGTATTCCATGCATACAAGCAGGACGCTACCAATTCCGGAATCTTGAAAGGTTCCAAACTGGTAGCATTAATCCTGCGCTCAGCGTATTTGCGAGAGAGAGTGCCTGACCAGGATTGTCAGGAGCCTTTGTGTGGGTTCAAATTTGACGACTACTTTGACTCGATTGAACGAGTAGGGGACATCCTTCCAGTGGTACATGGTGATTCAGAAGCAACAGCTGCGCAAACTTTGAAGCACTTGGAAGGCTGGTAAACTGAAACTGGTAAACTCTAAACTTGGGAAACTGGTTGTGGCAGTATCTCTAGTGGAATCAAATTTTCACAGCAGCTCTGAGTCAAATAAAGAAACACAATAACATCTCATCATATTAAGACAAACCATGACAAACCACCCATATATATATATGTATTATATTTATATATTTAGGCACGGCATCTATTACGGCTTCGTTGGCCTTCTGCCTGACAGGCTTGGGGTGTTTGACATGGAAGGATGTGCAAAGCCATTCGCAACTACAGAAGTGGATGCCTCAGCACGTCAATCGACGACCATTCCTATAGTAGTAAAGACAATTTTGGGCTTCACGCTTTAGTATGGTCTATGGGCGAACTGAATGAAGTTTGGGTTTGGACGGTTTGGACTCGTTTCACTTCTTGTTTTACAGTTTGTTAAGTTGCTTGCTGCAGCTCCAGCTACTGACTTCAAAGCCTTCAAAGCCTGAACATATGTTTATGATTGTTTATGTGTTTATGTACAGGTACATGTACTACAGCACTACAGCGTGGGAACATGTAATAATGAGGGCCATGCCCATATTGACTGTGTATGGGTTACGGTGTTACGATGTTTTCAATGTGTGTTCTGTGTTCAGTGATTTGTGTTTAGTTTGATGTTTTGACTCGACAGTGCACAATACACTGTACACTGGTGCAGCTGGTGCGGCAAGGCGATTGGACGATTGGCGATTGGTTAAACCTACAAGTAGTTTCTAGATCATTACAATTTCATACAAGGAACTTGTTGTTTTGTTTCTTCTGTTGAATTCTGCTCACCGCCGCTCACTGCCGCTCTGTTGATAAGGTGGGCGGAAGGCGCCCATATACTCCATTGGTACTTGTGCTGCACTGATGCTGGGTCCAATGAAATGGGAGCAAGACGAATCATCCATGAGGATGTACGGCAGTCGCCAAACATTTTGTACACGGACGTGACGTGTCTCGAACATTCACAACACCTGGTCTCATTAAGCTGCCTGAAAACAGCAGATCGTTGCCTGGAAGGAATGAGGGATTGGAAATATTTTGGCAGCTTGGCCACTTGCAGCAATGTTTGCCGGGATGTTGGGAAAGCCATCTACAGTGAATGGGTGAAGGACTATGGAATCGCATCTGCAAAGCAGCATTGCAAGTCTTTGTGGCCCAAGGCTATTGCAGGCCGGTGGTCAGGTTGCAACAAATCTGAAGAGCGGTTCCTTCTTTGCGGCCGCCAACGCTTGGCACCAATTTTGACTACCGTGCTTGGCAAAACTGCTGCTTCTGCAAAAAAGTCTGTGAAGTCAACAGTTGATGAGCATAGTGTTGAGGAAGCCCAGGCCTACTCCGAGCGGATGTCACGATGGAAGAAAAGAACTGCGGAGTGCATACAGGACAGCCTCTGGTGGCAAGTGGTTGAAGTCATGAACAAGACCCGAGGCCCGCTTTCGCACTTTTCCAACTTCCTTCACAAACCGCAAGGGGAATGGGGTCACATAGCCCAACTTGTTGGCGGGAAGGCCAATGACATCAAGGAAGAGTTCAACAGCGTATGGTCAAGTCTGAGGAAATCTGGCTGTCTTGCGCACACTGGGAATGAGAATGACTACGACTCTGACCAAGTACAGTCGCAATTTGTGAGGAATCTCGCGTCGCTGGGCTTTGGTTTTGCTTTTTGCTCAAGTTGTTGGCATGCATCTCCATAAAACTTTTACTATCTATCTTTCAATTTAACGTGTTTAACGTTTTTCGCATCCTGGTGGCCCTCGGATATTGTTTCTTACTACTACATGAATCGAAGTTGAAGGAATAGGCATAATTATTGGTGATTCCCGTGAATCCCAGTTACACAAGACCCATACAAGATTCAAGAAGATCCGCTCCTGATACCTGCAATTAGACAACAAACCAACACTAACACACGTGTCACGTGACACACTGCCACTGCTATTGGTTGCCACATTGGTCAAGTTGCCAAGTCTCTCTTTCTCTTTCTTCTTTCAGGACAGCTCGAAAACTGGGTAGTTTGATCATCAATCATCAGTATGTTCAGCTTTTGTGTTGCTTTGGCGGCTTTGGCTGCTTTGGCTGCTTTTGTGTCGTTTTTGCGTAGTGTTGCTGTCGAAGTCACCCAGGATGGATGTTCTTTTGCACTCCGCTTCTGGCTACCATCGAAAGGTCATGTTGCAGTTGAATGCCGGAGAGTTTAGATTGCTTTTGCTGGCAGAGGCCCCTCCTCGGAAGTTTTGCAGCTCGGTTTTTGCTATTCAATACTATTTGTCTTGGGGGTGAAAGGTAAGAGCGTTGCATTGCAAAGCAAGAAAAATTGCAGAAAGTGGAAACAAGAACCACAGAAACACAAGACACAACTTGCAACGCAACTCAACTTCAACCAGGCTCATAGACACACACACACAAAATAGAAAAAGGAACAAGAAAGCAACACAGTGACTGACATTGAACCGCACCGAACAACAACTCCGGCAGACAGCAGGCAAACAGACTCAAATAATTATCTCATCATCTCAGACTTTCTGTCTCAGTCTCTGTCTCAGACTACTGAATTGTTTGCAGGCCTGCGGCGGCAACAAGAAGCAAAACACATCCTGGAAGAAACTTCCAAGTCTTCCAAGAAGCAAACTTGCTCGACGAGCTTGCTCAAGTTTCGCACCTTGTTCGAGAAGGATTTGGCGTGGGCGGCTTCTGCGGGGTACTGTTCATACCGGATGTATATCACACTTCGTGGACTTGCGTGCATGATTGAGCCCGACGTACAGCCGTCCGAGCGGCTAAACAAGGCCCTCACGCTCTTCGGTGATAGATGCCCCTCGGGCACTTTGGATTTGCGCACAGGGCGAGCAGCTATGAAACATTTTCTTGGAGCCTATTCCATCAGCAGTACCAAGAGGTACAAAGACATGAAGCCAGCAGCCAAAGCCTTGATGGCGGAATGCTTGAAAGGCTGGGCTCTTTTGGATGAAGTGGACTCAAATGAGAACCGTTTCCAACATGCAGAGAAAAGGAATGACCTTCCATCACTCGAGCAGGCAAAGAAGAATGCCCCTAAACCACGGATGACAGTCGATCGGATCTGGGCTGCTACCATGAACGGCAAGCTTGGCAAGCAACGCTCAAAAAGGGCATATGCTTGCAGCCATGGGCTTCCCTGCATTTCGTTTGTGATTCCTCCCAAGAAAGCAACCGAAGCTCCTCTTGTGTTCTTGGTCACAGACAAAGTCAGGACAGCCCTGCATCTTGTGAGTTGCAGACAAATTGCCGACAACTGCGGCCGGTATATGCTTCGAACACCAATGACCTTCTCCAGGTCTCATGATGTGTTCTCCAGATTCTTCAAGCTGGTGCGTCAGGGTGTAACTATTTCGGTGGTGGAATTCATGGTCAATGTGAACGAAGACTCTTGGCAAACACTTGCCCAATGTTTTCCCCTTCTTTTTCCATTACCCCAGAATTGCGACGATCGTGCCAATTGTGTTTGTTTGTTTGTTTGACCTCCTGTTCTTTGCAATTTACGCTCAAAGGTTCAAATAGAATTGATTTACTGATTTATTGACGGACTTTCTTTGTCTACTGGAACATAAGCAGCACACAAGAAAAAAACAGCTTAAGCAACCAGAGTATTTTGTATATAGTAGTAGTTGTGCCATGCTGCTGCTGTCACACAGGATTCTACATTGGAACCCATTGCAAGCACCGCGTATCCATTGCTGACATTGAAGCCCCTCGACAAGACATCTGCTGAGGCAATTATGGAATTTGCCGACGAGGATGAGGAGGAGGATTGCGATGCGCACAGCACGGGCAATGACCTTGACACTCAAGAAACGGACGAAGTGGGAGAAATACTTTCACGCATGAAAGCAGCAGCATCGGCCCCATCGGGGGTCAAGTGTGATGACGATGAGGGTGATGACGGTGATGACGGTGATGGTGATGACCCCTGGCAAATGTTACGTGAGATGGCGGAGCAGTACGAAGCAAACCACGTAGCTGGAGATTCCGGAGATGTGTCCGAAGCAAATCTCATTAGACAGGCGGCTGGCGAATGCTATGATGATGCTGTAGCCCATGACTGTGATATTGACAATTCTTTTGAGATAGAGCAGAAAATGGAGATGATGCAAGAACAACAAACACGAGTGGAATCTGCAATTGCGCAATCGGTGCTGGCATCTGGGATCAAAGTTCAAGGGGCTGCTTTGCTGAAGATTGCAGAGAATGCTGTTGCTGTCCCCTGACATTTCTTGAGTCATTTTGCTCTTACTGTGACTGTAGCTATGCAAACGAAACACGTGATGTGCCCTGTGCCAATTGTGATGTCGTCAATGATTCTCATTCGACTCCACTTGTCACTCGTGCAGTGTAAACTAGTAAACAGCCGACTGTATAGATACAATACATATATATATATGTGTATTTATTGTTGAAATATGTTGGTTATACTATATTTTTTCTTGGTTCTTAAATTCTTGATTATTAGGATTATACTGGATGACTGTGTTGTGGTAAAGTTCAAGGCTCACGGGCAAAACGGTCTCCATTCTTGAAAATTGAAAGGCGGAATCATTATATATATTATATCACATCATCTATTTCCTTATTTGCTATTTAAAAGAAAGTACCACATTTCCGTCGACTCACTGTTAGTATTCATAATGCTTCCAGTGCTAAGTGCTACCAACATGATGATGATGATGATGTTGATGATGATGATGATGATATTGATGATATTGATGATGATGATGATGATGATGATGCGCTTGTCACTACCACTTTGCGTCGTTGAGTGTTTGATCCTGGTTCTGGTACAGCCTGTTCTTGCTTTAGCTGAGGATGGTGCAACAGAGGAGGAAGCTTTGCTTGAAGCTTCTTTGCAATGCTCAGCAGCTTTGGGCAATTTTGAACACGAAGACGAAGAGGGGACGGGTGAATCCAGATCCGTTTCACATACAAGTATGCACCCTCCTGTGCCAGCTGTTCCTGAGCTGCGGTTGGCGTGTTTGAAGGAGTTTGTTGCCACGCAGCAGCATCTACATACTGATGATGCGAGTCCTCGTGGAATTGCATACAGTGCATTTGTTGTCGAGAGGGCTTTGTTCCAGTGGCTGGAAGAAGCACAGTTGTCGAAAGACGTGCTCGAAAAGGCCTATTCAGCGCGAACACGGCCTGGAGCACTAGACTATGCAGGGAAGGGCAAAAACCTTGCTTTGGTTGTTTGTCAGCTTCCTTGGCTAGAATCAAAAACAACCTCAATCATTCACTGGCAAATTCCAGGACGCACTGGTCGTCCAGTCGATCTTGACAGTGAGAACCGAGTGAAAGCATTAGTGTGTGTGGGGCGTTTGAGAGAGGCTTTCAACTTGGAAGACGCTGACATGATCCATCCTGATATTGGAGTACCTATGCTACGTGCTCGAGGGTACAAACAACAAGAGAGACCAACCATTCATTCTGACATACTTCGTCTGCGAACCATATGCAACACAGCTCTGCAGCAACAAACGCAGCGAGAACGAGAACAAGAACAAGAATCATCTGGAAATGCAGTGCCAGCGCTGGATGATGATTATGATGATTCCAATGGATGTCGGCTTTGTGCTGAATTGGAGGCTGTTCTACCGGAGCTGCCGTTTCAAGCAGCACTACCCAACGAGCCCATGTCGCAATGTCCTTGCTGTTTGCAGTTTCTCTCTTGAAATTGAGAAGTATGTCTGTAGTTGAATCTTTACTGAGAATCTTTTCCCGACCGCTTTTTTTGATCTTTCCTCATCTCTTTATTCTTTCCAATGGTCCAATGTCTTTAATTATTTTTCATTCTTTCATTTCTTTGGCAGTCGGCAGTTTCCTCAGAAGCCAGAAGCCAGTCTACTCATATTTCAGGCACAATTGGCATTGAGTTTCTTCAAACACGTGTATGTTTTCCATGGCACCTGGTGCATGATTCGACAGTCCAAGAACCCAAGAATGAGTTCTGAGCTCTTTCTAATCCAAGGTATTGGCACGTGCCTTGCTCAAAGGCCATTGCGCTGGCAACAACGTTCGCGGGTGAACACTTACCCTGCAACCTCCCTGGAATCAGCTCAACGTGGTTTCCACAATGTCTTCAAGGAATGAGGAGAGGTGTTCCAATGCAAGCTGAGAAAGGCACAAGGTACAAGCACATGCATTGTTTCCAGTTGAATACTGTATATGGTAATGGTGGATCAAGATGTTAACTGAGGCTCCCATGTGTAATTTAAGCATTGCCCTCTTCTGTCTATTTTTTTCAGGACCTGTGCAGCGTGCTCTGCCATCATTGACCGTGTAGTGGACCGTGCAGCTGCCGAGGCACTTTGTTGTTTTGCTTGTTCTTTTTGATCGGAATCCAAATAGAGTCAATGCTTTCCCTAGTCGAGTCCTTTTTAGCTGAACTAGACTTCAAGACTTCTGATTCGCCTGTATCTATTTGTTTGCAGGTTGCAACCTTGAATTCTTAAATCACCAAGAACTATGCCTGCCTTATGCCAAATCACCACATGTCACCCAGTCAATGGCTTCCTTTAATTGGAAATTGAAATAGAGTTGGGTACGCATACTTACTCGATAGGCTATCTCCCCGGCTGCGGCTGCATCAGCGAGCGGTGACGGTGACGCGGACACAGGACACAAACTCAGGATCAGAATGGTTGAACATAATTGTTTTGTTGATGAGGAATCAACGGAATCAAGAGAACCAAGATATTTCACCTTCTAATCCGGTCCCCTTGCCAACTTAGCATTTATGGCATTTATGCCAGCAATAAATGACAGAAACAATAAACAACAACAGCAGCAGCAGCAGCAACAACAACAACAACTACTACTACTACTACTACTACTACTAAAGCTTTCCCTAGCTGACGCACGGGTATGTCACGCAGTACTCCTGTAGTTCCTGCACTGTAGTTCATGCAAAGCAAATATGCCGGCTGTCGGGCTGCAAACGATTGGGTAATCCGCAATACAATCTTATTTCCTAAGTTGGTGTATTCAAGGACTTCTATAGTTTTCGGAAGTAGAAGTAGACTAGACGTGACGGTGACGTGACGTAGACTGGAGACTGGAGTTTTTCCTTTGCAACCTTTGCTTCCACGAGGAGTTGTAGCAGGTGCCAGCGGTGCAAGTGACATCCTCAGACACACTGACACGTGAACGCGACACAGGAACACAAACCAGTTGTCCTTATCCTTGACAGCTTGACAACTCTGCCAGTATACGTAAGTATACGTTTATATACTGTACGTGTACATGTGCTGCACCGCACCGTACTGAGTACTGTTGAAAGGAGACTTGAGACAAACTGATTGACTGAATGTATAATGTAAACTGTACGGTCCTTCTCACTTCTCACATTCAACCTTAAAGCCTTGAGTCAGTTTTGAATCTTTCCCAAAACAAATGCGTCAAATGCGTGAACCTAGCAGAGTTCTGAATGCTGCGGAATCCCGACAGGGTTGTGATGAGAGCCAGGGCCTTGACATTGTGTTGACAGCGCGATCCGCGAGATCATTTGCCTGAAGCTCCTTTGTTGTTGTCATTTGTCATTTGCCAGCTGAATCAGATAGAATTTACAGTAGCTAAATCTTTGTTTCTGTTCTTCTTCTCCATTAGCTTGTTCGTTCGCATCCAGAATTCCAGGATTGTAAATGGTCGGACAAACCCTGCAAACCCATGGAAGCCGATAACTGTCGGCGGCTTGAGGCTGAATTTCCCATGTGGCTATGTGGCTGGGAATTTCGTCTTTGGAGGCAAACGCACATTCGATGTCTGATGTCTGTTTATTTCCGCAAGAGTGTGTCAAGATGTGTCAAGAGCCAAGAGTGACTATTAACGGACTGACGGACTGAACTCACGAGAAGTTTGCAGCTTTGGCCGCTTTCACTGTTTCACAGATTCACCAATCAAAATGTTACTAGTTACTAGAATAAGAAGCAGTGTCAAATGTCAGAAATGTTGTTGATGCTTGCAGCAGCTTGTTGGGAATATGTTTTACTGTTTTACCGTAGCCGTAGCCCGCGTATAGCAGTAGCAGTTGCAACTGCACGACCGCGTGCAGTGCATTGCTCTTGGCTCTTTGCAATCAACGTAATGGACTAGCATGTTGTTTTTGTTAGCGCCTGTTGGCACGACATCACAGTTGGGCACGGCATAGGGCAGCTGGGGCAACTTGAAGGCAACTTGACTTTTACTATAATCAGGTAACCAGGCTATACAAATTCCACATGTTCACATTTTCTGATTCTGACTGAATGCCACGAATGCCCATGGAGCAAAACAAGCTACAAGCTGAAGCTGAAGCAGAGCAGTTGCAATCGCATACAATGCAGTCAATGCTTGGCTCTAGAGCACAAAGATCTTTGAGGTCTTTGAGGAGTGGAGTGGAACCAGTAGAACCCAACACACTCCGACATGTGACGTGTGACAGGTTTAAGCTCAGCACCACGGCACTTAAGTAGATACTAGTCACGGTAAGTGTAAATGGTTTCTACGGTTGCGACCGTCTCAGAGGTGTAGTTGTAGTGTAGTTCAGTGTAGAGAGCTGAGAGCTGGTGCAAATGAAGTGACACTGATACAGGAGGGGGGGCTGGCTCTGGTCTGACAGCGGCAATACAATATGGTGTTGTTGTTCCGGGAGGAGGGCAGCAGGCGGATGACAAATCATCCAACCGGACACCACCAGACGAATCCAATTCAGCGTCTTCATATTCCAGTTCAAATCCAATTCAACAGCGGAGCTTTGGCTATGAAGTCGACAAAGACAAAGACAAAGAGTCACGGTCCAGTCGGTCTCGATCCAGGACGTCAGGACCAAGGCTCTTGACAAACAACTCAACACCGCCAACACCGACACCGACACCTAGAAAACGCCCGCGCTTGCAGAGACTGCGCCCGATTGCTCCAACACCAACAACATCGCCAGATTCACAGTTTGTGTCTGAGGCAAACACAGACGCTGACATGGGACTGGTTGATTCGGACGCACAAGCCTCTCCCACTGGTTTACCAGCAGCAGGAGAACAATCGGAGGATGAGGACTCGTCTACAATGTCTAACACATCCACAGAGTTCACAGATTTGGAAATGGGACTGTCAGATAACAACGACGAGACTGATTGCAATGGAAATGACGCGTTGAGCCAACCGGAACCTGACCCAGAAGAATCTCCGAGTGAGCCGTGCGAGCCGCAGCCATGTGAGTGTGGGTGGTGTGAGTAGGGTA